AATCTAACACTGAATCACTCTATTCCAGACCTCTTTGCAGTAGACGTGCAAAGAGGATAGCACCTTACTGCAGGCCATCTACACAGAGTTAAAGTCTGCATGTGTATGTTCTGGTAGACCTGTCTATCCAGAAGCCAGAAAAGATGAAAGAAAACATTAACAAGAAAAATACCTTTATATTTTAATGGCAAAATGACTTCATTCATAACCACATATTTGTTTATCATGTGCTCTCCTACTTTTTTCTAACTTTAAACCACCCTTTAACGTTACCTGTCATGCAAGATAAAGAAGGCAGTCATTGAAATGAAATGGAAGTAGATTTAGAGCAATAAAAGAAAGTATTTTTCACAGAGTGCTTAATCATTTTGTGGATCTCATTATTGTAGCAGGTCATCAGTCAAATCCTATGGCAAGAATTGGATAGCTTAAATATTTTAATGAACATTAATAATACTTACCGTTATGCAAGTGGAGATAATCACACCTCATACTCCTAATTGTAAGCCTGCAGTTAGAAATGAATTTCACCTCACATTATTTGCTTAGTGTGTTCGCTTTTTTTTTTAACCTTATTTCTTTCTGAAGCATCCCTGGCCACAACTGAGGTGGGGGGTGGAGAGCGGTTACTGGATTATATGGACCAACGATCTGATACAGAATAGTGTATCATGAGATTGTTTCCCTTATGGTTTCTTAAGAAAGGTTTCACTTTATCAGTGCTGGTGCTAGCCCACTGGGGGCCCAAAGCAGGAATATTTTTGCTCCTTCAACACATATTAATAATTAATAGGGGGCTCCCTTGAGCTAGGGGCCCAAAGTAATTGCTTAGTCTGCTTACTGGTTTTGCACTCTATAGATCAATGAGGGAACAGAAGTCAGAGGTGATTAATCAACGGCCTATAGCTTCTTTATGGGAAGTTGCTAATATGAATTTGACTTCAATTATTTGGATAGGTTGTGACTCCCATGCAATTCGTTTATCACCAAATACCTTTCCTCCAGTCTGTATCGATGTAATTTATCTTCACACGAAGAGCTCACAAAATGTAGTTTTACATGCTACATTTGAAAGGTGGTGAATCAGGCACCAATGGAAACAACCCATCTCAAATATGGACTTAGTGTCCCAACCCAGATTTTCTCAAACTATGTAATGTATGTCTTCTGAGATAATTCTATTTCTTCCGGGAGCAAGTGGGGGCAAACCAACCCAACAACAGCAAAGGTAAAGTGAACTCTAGTTTTCTATTTCACTCAGAGGGGACACAGGTGGATCCAGAGGAATGGGCCAGTTGGCTGAGCACAGGAACCGGACTATTTTAATCCCACCGTTTTCACTAACTCCCCCTGTGATCTTAGATGCATCACTTTACTGCATCAGTTTTCCTACATGAAAATTCAAGTTCCTAGTGTTTACTAACTTACCTGACATGAGGAAACAGTTGTTCATATTTGTAAAGCAATTCAAGGAAGAATAGTGCTATTTTACTTCTAAGTATCATTTTTTTTATTGCAGGATCATTTTCACTGTTAACTTTAAAAGCAACAAGTAGTCCTGTGGCACCTTAAGGGCTAACCAAAATATATAGAATCATGGGCTTTCATGAGTAAAAGCCACTTTGTCAGATGAATTGGAATGGAAATAACAGAGACCAAGAGATATATTTAACAGCAAAAGTACCTGTCAATTGTAGGGCCTGTGTTAATGAGGCTAATTAAGTGGGCTGGATGTGTGCCATACATAGCTTTTGTTGTGGAAATGAAGATGTTAAAGGGAAGAGAAATTGGCTTTATAATGCGCCAGCCAGTTAATGTCTTTGTTCAAGCCAGGGTAATGGTGTCAAATCTGTAGCTGAATTGCAGTTCAGCAGTTTCTCTCTGTAACTGGTTAATGAAATTCCTTTGTAGAAGAATGGCTACTTTTAAATCCATGAGTGAGTGAACAGTCTGGTTTCAATGTTCCCTTACAATGTTCCCTTTATGTGTGTGACCATTTCTGATGTCTGATTTGTCCATTTATCCTTTGTTGAAGAGACTGTCTGGTTTGGCCAATATACATGGCAGAGAGGCATTGCTGAGAAATCAAATAGCCTACAGAATAAATTAAAATAAATTATTAATCCAAAACCAAAGAAATTTGCTCAGTTTAAAAAAAATACCACTTACATCCCATGGAACAAATGCACCAGATGTTGTTTTTAATTAGGTCCAGGTTTGGGAGACAATATTTCTACCCACTTGGAAAAAAATGTTTCTGTTCACCTAGGGCCAAAATTTTTTTTTTCAAAGGAAGGGGGAATTAAATTTCAGAGTAACATTTAGAAGCTCTCATCTCAGTGAGTGTAGTAATCCAGGCCTGGTTTATACTGGAAAATTAAGTTGACTAACTGCATCGTTCAGGGGTGTGAAAAATCCACATCCCTGTGTGATGTAGTTAAGTCAACTTAACCTCCAGTGCAGACAGTGCAACATCAATGGGAGAATTCTTCTGTCTACCTACCTACTGCCTAGAATCCTAGCATCTATACTGAATTCATAGAATCATAGAATCATAGAATAATAGGACTGGAAGGGACCTCGAGAGGTCATCGAGTCCAGCCCCCCGCCCTCAAGGCAGGATCAAGCTCCGTCTACACCATCCCTGACAGATGTCTATCTAACCTGTTCTTAAATATCTCCAGAGAGGGAGATTCCACCACCTCCCTTGGCAATTTATTCCAATATTTGACCACCCTGACAGTTAGGAATTTTTTCCTAATGTCCAATCTAAACCTCCCCTGCTGCACTTTAAGCCCATTACTCCTTGTCCTGTCCTCAGAAACCAAGAGGAACAAATTTTCTCCTTCCTCCTTGTGACACCCTTTTAGATATTTGAAAACCGCTATCATGTCCCCCCTTAATCTTCTTTTTTCCAAACTAAACAAGCCCAGTTCATGAAGCCTGGCTTCATAGGTCATGTTCTCTAAACCTTTAATCATTCTTGTCGCTCTTCTCTGTACCCTTTCCAATTTCTCCACATCTTTCTTGAAATGTGGCGCCCAGAACTGGACACAGTACTCCAGCTGAGGCCTAACTAGTGCAGAGTAGAGTGGCAGAATGACTTCACGAGTTTTGCTTACAACACACAATTGCTACTGTTGTGCAGCTAAGCACTGTAACCGCACTGCTGTGCAGTTTTATATGTAGACAAGCACTCAGCTAGCAATCAATCTGCCCAGTGTCAGCCCTTAGTCTTTAATGCTCCAGTCATCAAATTATAGATCTGAGACTGGATTTTTGGACCCACATAAAATGCCCAATCAGGAGGCAGTTGGGCTATTTGTGCTTGTGAAGTCAATGAGCCTCTTTCAGGGTATGTCTACACTACCCCGGTAGTTCGAACTAGCGGGGGTAATGTAGTCATCCGCAATTGCAAATGAAGCCCAGGATTTGAATTTCCCGGGCTTCATTTGCATGAAGCCGGCCGGCGCCATTTTTAACTGCCGGCTAGTTCGAACCCCGTGCCACGTGGAATGAGGAGTACAGCTCGTGGAATGAGGAGTACAGCTAGTTCGGATTAGGAAGCCTAGTCCGAACTAGCTACTCCGTGCCGCGTGTAGCCGCGTGGCACGGGGTTCGAACTAGCCGGCAGTTAAAAATGGCGCCGGCCGGCTTCATGCAAATGAAGCCCGGGAAATTCAAATCCTGGGCTTCATTTGCAATTGCGGATGACTACATTACCCCCGCTAGTTCTAACTAGTGGGGTAGTGTAAACATACCCTCATAGACAGGTTTGGTGGGTGAAGCCCACCACCATGCTAAAAAGCCTCCCCACCCCCAGGATAGGAAGGAAACACTGAGCCCTGAAATCATCAGATTATAGGGAACTAAAAATGGGGAAACAAACAGGGCTAGGTGTGGAGGTCTGTAACATGGTGCCTCCTGCTGGTGACTATGGGGATTAGCTCTTCAACCCTAGAGCACCCCCTTCTGGTTGATGCCACGCCTACCTTTTATCGGCTCCCCCACTTTGTTAGGACCCATGTCCCCCTCAGACCATGGTACCCTCCCATCTGAGTACTGCCCTATCACAGTGCCCCCATACTCTGGGGTCCTCCTCTTCAGGGAACCCCCAATTTCCTATTCCCACTTTGCCTCAGTGACCCTACTGCCATTTGTCATCTAGCCCCTTACCTCAGGGGCAAACTGCAGTCTGCAATGGCCACTCATCATTGGCAAGGGGGTGTGGACTTGCTGCCTTCTGCTGTCCTAACTGCCTCTCTGCAGCCCTAATATCTTCAGACCTTGCTTCAGGCCCTGTAGCCTGGGAGGTTGCCTGTCCAGAGCTTCCCCAGCTCTGCCTGCCTTTCCCCAGCCCTGCTCTAACTCAGGAAGCCCCCAGCTAGAGCAAGAGTGAGTGTATGTCTAGACTACACCTTGTTCTGCTTTTTTTTTTCAGAAGAGGCTTTTCCGAAATTTGGCCCATCTACACTGGGCCAAATTTTGGGGAAAAAACCCCTCTTTCAGAAGATCCTTTCTGTCTCCTGGAACGAGGAAGACACGGCTTCCAGAAGAGCACACCTGCTCTTACGCAAAAAAAAAAAAAAAAAAAAAGCAGAAGAGCAAACGCGTTCTCTGGATGTGGCCGAGTTTTTTGGGGGATACTGGAGGTATTCTGACCCCCCTCCCACAGTCTAGATGTACTCTGACTCAGTGTCTCCTTCCCTCCAGGAGCCCTTATTTATATAGTCACAATTGGGCCCTAATTGGCTGTCTCTGCCTCAGCTGCTGTCTCCACCACTCCTGCCATCTCCCAAGACTGGATTTTAACTCTTAAAAGGCCAGTGTGGGGCAGATGCCTCATTGCAAGATCCCAACCTGTGATACCCCACGAGACTGAATTTGATCCATGGGCCCTGATGTGAGGTGAATACACAGACCATGTATGGGACATATTGGACAGATAGCTTCTTACAATGGCCAAGCAGAGAGAGAATTTCATTCTTCAGAATTCTGATTGTGGTCTCCTAAATCACAAACTGTGGGGACACAATATATAATTTTGAGTCCTTCACTTGGTTTATGCAGTTAGATTATTTTTGTTTAGTGTTTTAATTCTCTTTCTTTATTGCACTAACCAGTAATATTTGCCTCCTCCTCTGCATCTGCCAGCCTTCCTCCTCCCTCCCACAGAAGCTAAGATAAGAGGCAAATTGATTACTGAAGCAATGTAGCAGACTTCCCACGACACCGTTACTAAATCAAATTTTAATAACTCTTCAAACAAATACGTTTTGGCCCTGGACATCAGCTTAGGGATTCAAGTAAAGCTTAGTTTATCTGCTTAGTTAATCAAAAAGAAGACTGAAAGGTAACATGATTACTGTGGATTAGTAATCTACATGGGGAGAAAATACCAGATAGTAAAAGGTTCTTTAACCTAGCAAAGAAAGGCGTAACAAGAGCCCGTGGAGGCTAGAAAGTTAATGTTAGAAAAATTCAAATGAGAAATAAGATACATTTTTTTTAAACAATGAATGTGACTGTTGGAACAAACTGCCAAGGGAAATTATGAATTCTGTGTCTCTTGAAGTCTTCAAATCAAGACTTGGTCCCTTTCTGTGAAATATATTCTTTTAGTCAGTCACTAGTTATGGGGCTTAGTACAGAGGAAGCTAGGTGAAGTTTTACAGCTTATATGATACATGTGAATTAATGGTCCCTTCTCGCCCTTAAAGCATAGAGCTGGTTAGGAATTGGTTGGAATGATTTTCTGATGAAAAAATGCAGTTTCTGCACAATTGAAATATTCCATAGCAAAATCTCAGTTCTGTGGAAAAAAATTGATTATTTGAATTCATTTGAGTCAGATTGAAATATTGTATTTTTGTTGAACTGACCTGAAATGCTTTTTTGAACCAGTTCAGTGAAACATTAAACTGCATTCCTCTGTCACCACACTGCTGATGGAAGTCATAGTTGAGGCCTTCATTCTCTTCTACTGGTTGAGCTCCCTGGAGATCTGCATCTCTCGTACTTCAAGTGGATATCCATTTATACAAGCTCTGTGTGGTGCATAATGGCAGTCATATGATTTTGGGTGCATAAGAGGACAGGTAGTCAAGCCAAAGACCCTGGCCCATATGGAAGAGTGGGGGCATCAGCCTCATGAATTACAACTTCCACAAGGCAATGTGCCATAACTGGAAAATGTAATTTACAGTTGAAATGACTCAAAGCAAAGCATGTGGGTTATTTCAGCAAACTGAAATGATTTTGAGAATATTGGATGCTTTGATAAAAAAAATCTAAATTTAAAGTTTTTAAAATTTACATTTTATAAAAAAATCTGAAATTTCAACTTTACATTAAGATATGAGACAATGCAAACGCTGAAATTTCCAACAAGGTGGAAATTCTAAATTTCATTCAGTTCTATTCAAATCTATGAAAACAGGCTTTATCTTTCTGCTATTTCTTCTTTTTGGCTACAAAGCATGGAGGACAAAAAGACAAATTTTGGAAGTGAGTTCAACACCTCTGTTTTTAGAGTATTACAATTCAAGCTTACAAATATTAAACTAATGGAGTCATTTCAGTTTTTCCATAAAAATGCTATCTTGGCCAGAGGTAGAAGTTTCTAACTTTGAGGGTGATATGATGTTTGATATAGATTTTATTGTGGAAGCCAAAATTGTGTTATAAAGGCAGTTCAAGTAACACTCTTAACTACACTATAACTCCTGTCACTCCATAATAGTAGGGTGCTAAATGACAATGGTGGGTGTAACCTATTACGTCTTGATGAACTGTTTATGTCCTGCTATTCCATTGATTACAATAATATGCAACAATCCAGAGCCCTCGGGGATATTAGGACATCCAAGAGATGTAAAAGACAGTATATGACCACCCTAAACTGATATAGCTCAGTCATGTGACAAAAGTTATAGGTGCTAAGTTTTCTAAATGGACGGGAAGTATGTGGATATGATGGAAAGCAGCTTGACCCTTCCTCTTCTATTTCTTCCTGACATCCCAGGGGTTTCAGCAAAAATTCTCCTTCCACAGTAAAGAGATTGTGGCCATCAGTTGCTCCTGGTGCAAGCAGGCGGTAAGTGGCTAGAATTGAAGAATGGGGGTGGGGTAGGAGAGAAGTGGTGGTGGCAATTTTGCTTACGTGGAATCATCATATTTGACTTTAATTGTTCTAGTACTTTTATGAAGAAAGGAGCCACATTCAGCTGTCCTCCACGAGAAGAGTAGGCTTCTTTCTTTTGGAGTGTAACAACAGCACTCCTGGGGTAATGAGAAGGTTCACTCTCAAGTACTCCATTGCTATTGCTGGCTCAGAGAACAAGGGATTCCCATTATCTATAATTTTGCCTGTTCAGAATTTGGTCTTACTACCGTTATGTGTATGTAAGCCTGGGCTGTCTTAGAGGTAGGAAAGACTTTTGGCAAAGGATGAGAAAATGGGAAGGTGGGTTGTTTTTTGCTCATGTTCCTCTTTGTACAGAGGATTGGGAAAGGAAGTTGAACTGGGTACATTCCTCAGTGCCAAATACGTCTCCCCATTTTTTTTCTGTCCCCACCATGCCTTTCTCTCTCCCTCTTCTCCTTTTTCTTGCACTCTGTCCACCCCACTGATGGCTCTGCTCTCCTTCTGCTAGTTTCACAACAAAGTCACCTGCTTCTTGCTACATCACATCGAGGAGCCGTGTTCCCTGGGGGCTCATGCTGCTGTCATTGTGCCTCCCACCTGGATCATTAAGGTGAAGAAACCTCAGGTAACTGCATGCCAATGTCCGTTTCTGATGCTGTTTGGCAGCTCAGGGCAAGACTGGCTTCTTTTGCTCTTGGTACTCTTCCACAAAAGCATGTTTGTCTGCCCCATCCATTCTCCTCACACCCAGCTTATACCCATGATGAATATGAATCTATCACTCTTTCATCTACCTCTCTGTAAGGATTCTTTCATTTTCTGGTTTGGGGCAATAAGTAATGAACCTGATGTTGACATCAAATAATCCAGTTCATTCTTCTTATTGCAAGTTCATCTAACAGACTTGCAAGAATCCTCTGTTTTAAGTGCTCAAGCATGTTTCACTAAGTAGAGCTGGGCAAATAGAGAGAGAAAGCTTTCCACAAATATTCAGTTGAATTGAAACATAAATTGGCTGTGGCTGTGTTCACTTCCCTTTTGCATTCATTTTCCATGGATGTTTGGATGATCATGTTTTGCTCACATGAATGCTTGCTTACATGCTCCAATGCTTGCAGATAATGAATTTTCAACTTGTGAGCATTTGCACCCGATTTGGTATATTTTAGATGGGATAAGACATTGCTCAACTCAGCAGGGAAAAAAGCTTCCGGAGCCCCTTTCCAGATAAGGGACTGATTTCATTCTTAACAAACAGGGCCACTCAAGCCCATGTAGCTACTTCACATGTGGGGGGAAGACTAATAATTCAGGACAGCAAATGCAATGTGCTTGGTATAATTTGTCCCTGGACTCCTTGTCAGAGTAAATACACAACAGTGGTCTGTGTTGCAAAGGATACAGCCACTTTTATTGATAATACTTTGTTTAATTGTGTGGATAGACCAGAAAAGGGACCTTGGAAACAATTGATGGGAGAGTCAGTTCTCTTGCAAGTCTCATATGTTGAGTTCCTAGCACCTGCCAGGTTTCTTACTTAGGGTGTATCCTTGCCACAGTAAATCAGAACTGGCTATGACAAATATGCCAAGCCACTCATCCTCAGATTAACCCCATGATTCAGAGACTTCTGACAGGCTTTTTGAAAAACTCTCATGTGGCTGAATTCTAATGGCAGATTTTGAACAAGAGCCCCCTGGACCCCCCCCCCCACACAACAAGAGAAGCCAAATCATGGTAGGAAAAGCCAACTGTAGTAGGAATGTATAGATTCCAAGGTCAGAAGGGCCCACTGGGATCATCTAGTCTGACTTCCTGTATAATACAGGAAATAACTGAAATAACTGCTGTTTTAACTAAAATGTGTCTTTTAGAAAAAAAATACCTAGTCTTGATTTTAAAATGATTCATAATAGAGAATCACCACAACCCTTGGTAAATTATTCCTGTGATTACTTACAGTCACTGTTAACAATGTATGCCTTATTCCAAGTCTGAATTTATCTAGCTTCAGTTACAGGACGTATTTTCCAGTCCTTTAATCATTTTCATGGCTCTGCTGTGACCCCTCTCAGTTTCATCAGCATCCTTTTTTGAATTGTGGAAGTTAGAACCAGACATTGTATTTCAGCAGCAGTCACACCAGTGCCAGACTTGGAGGTAATATAAACTCTTTGTTCACTACTCCAAGGAAGGCATTGACTTTTTCTGGCCACAGCATTACATTGCGAGCTCGTGTTCATCTTCTGATCTACCAATATTGCTTTCCAGGGTAGAGCCCCTATCTTAAAGTATAACCGGCTAGGGGCCAATGCTCATCCTTGTGACTTTCCTGTCACAGGCCAGGTCTACACTACGAGAAGAAGTCGACCTAAGATACACAACTCCAGTTATGCGAATAACATAGCTAGAGTCATCGTGCCTTAAGTCGAATTTCTGCAACATCCCCGTTGCGGGAAGTTGACAGGAGAAACTCTCCTGTCAGCTTCACTTACTCCTCAAGTACCGAATTTGACAGAATGTGCCTGGAGTACCGAAGTCGATGGGGGTGCAACCAGAAGTTAATTTAGCAGTAACTTACTAGACCCACTAAATCGAACACCGGGAGAGCGATCTCCATAGCATCCATCTCCCAGTAAGTGGAGACAAGCCCTAAGCACCACAAAAGTACTGAGCTAGCTCCTCATCTGTTGTACATTCATGTCATTCCACTGAAGTCAGTGAAGCCACACTGATTGGCAACAGCGGAGGATCAGTCCCATGGTGCAGCTTATTAAATGGGCCCATGAGGATTCCAGCATGTGTCAGACCCATCGTCTCTGAACTTGTATCTCAGGAGAAGAGTGATTTAAAAAAATATGTTTCTCGTTAGTATACTCTGGGGGAGTACATGTGAGAACAAGTGATTGATACACCTGGATGGCTTTCGTCTCACATATTCCAGTTCAGATGATATAACTAAACACATCACCAGAGCTGTTTCTGGAGATATCTGCAAAAGAAATAAAACAGGACTCGAGCACCCTTCTTTCTCTCTTTCTCACCCACACACACACGCTACTAAATTCCTGTAAAGAAAGACTCTCTAAGTGGTTTTTCTGGCCCTCGCAGATGATTTTTAAGAGTCTTTTTTAGCAGAAGAGAGTAGGTGTGCCCAAGAACAACAAAAAACATTTGGCCAAGCCTCATTTCTCCTTCCCTTCCTCTTTAGTTTCAATTTCACAACTGCTGTTAGTAGGAAGCAGTCTCTAGGGCTACATCTAGACTACATCCCTCTGTTGGCAGAGGGATGTAAATGAAGGACTTTGAAATTGCAAATGAAGCCAGGATTTAAATATCCGGTGCTTCATTTGCATAATCACATAATGGTGCTCTTTCGAAAAAGCTCTATTTCGAAATTGAAACTACAGTCTGGCTATGTATAGACTACAAACCTCTTTTGAAAGAAAGCGTCAAGACTGCAACCAATTCTTTCGAAAAAGTGAGCCGCTTTTTTGAGACAGAGTGCCCAGGCAGTCTGGATGCTCTCTTTCGAAAAAGCTGTGTTTGCATTCAAGAACGCCTTTTTTCGAAAGAGCACTTTTGAAAAAAGATGTTCTTCCTCGTAAAATGAGGTTTACCACGGTCTAAAAAACTGCCGTGTTCTTTCAATTTAATTTTGAAAGAATTCGGCAGCAGTCTAGACACAGGGGAAGTTTTTTCGAAAAAAGGACACTTTTTCGGAAAAAAACCCTGTAGCCTAGAAACACCGTCTAGACGCGGTTCTTTTGAAAATGGGCTGCTTTTCTGAAAGATCCTGTAAACCTCATTTTATCAGGTTTACAGAATCTTTTGAAAAAGGGCCCCATTTTTGAAAGAACCACATCTAGACTGAGGTTTCAATTTTGAAATAGCGCTTTTTCGAAAGTGCACCATTACGTGATTATGCAAATGAAGCGTGGGATATTTAAATCCCAGCTTCATTTGCACTTTCAAACTGCTTCATTTACATCCCTCTGCCGACAGAGGGATGTAGTCTAGATGTAGCCTAGCAGTGCCTGGAAAACCCCCAGAGCATGAGTGAATTCATCTTGCTAGGGCCTAAGACTGGGAAATGCAAGTGATCATCAAGAAATCATGAAGTGGGCCTTTGTGCTAAGGGCCAGTTTTTCAAGAAAATGGAGCACCCTTTCTTTCTTTCTTTCTTTCTTTCTTTCTTTCTTTCTTTCTTTCTTTCTTTCTTTCTTTCTTTCTTTCTTTCTTTCTTTCTTTCTTTCTTTCTTTCTTTCTTTCTTTCTTTCTTTCTTTCTTTCTTTCTTTCTTTCTTTCTTTCTTTCTTTCTTTCTTTCTTTCTTTCTTTCTTTCTTTCTTTCTTTCTTTCTTTCTTTCTTTCTTTCTTTCTTTCTTTCTTTCTTTCTTTCTTTCTTTCTTTCTTTCTTTCTTTCTTTCTTTCTTTCTTTCTTTCTTTCTTTCTTTCTTTCTTTCTTTCTTTCTTTCTTTCTTTCTTTCTTTCTTTCTTTCTTTCTTTCTTTCTTTCTTTCTTTCTTTCTTTCTTTCTTTCTTTCTTTCTTTCTTTCTTTCTTTCTTTCTTTCTTTCTTTCTTTCTTTCTTTCTTTCTTTCTTTCTTTCTTTCTTTCTTTCTTTCTTTCTTTCTTTCTTTCTTTCTTTCTTTCTTTCTTTCTTTCTTTCTTTCTTTCTTTCTTTCTTTCTTTCTTTCTTTCTTTCTTTCTTTCTTTCTTTCTTTCTTTCTTTCT